AGTAGAAAACTCTGAATTTCAACACTAGAGAATTTTTTAGTGGACATTTAACTTTAGATAAAAGAATATGCTTTTGTTTCCTCTTTCTGAGTTGTGTCAGGTCATACTGCATCAAACTTTTTATACCCTTGTAATGATAAAAATATAAATAAAGGAAAGTTGATTCATATGTACCAAGCCAAAAAAAAATAAAAGTAGAAGAACAAAATAAAGTTACTGCTAATTTTACTATTCCATGTTCCATTCCACTTTATTTCGCCTTCTTTTCTTGGAAATGTAGGTTCCACTCTTTTACTTAAATTCTTTCTTTGGTATGAATTATACGGTGCTAGGTGCTATAGTAACTTGACCCTTCCTCTGCATTAAGGAAGGTGAAACTTTAAACAGTCTGAAAAAGAGAATTATGCATACAGTAAAACTCTCTAAAGATTTACACTCACAACTTTCTACAGGGTTTATAATTTTAGAGACTTTTAACAGTTTCTTCTACTTTGGCTAATCCATTAGTTGCTAATAATAATGCTATTTATTAAATATCTGTTATAAATATTAGGTAGATGATTTCTCTTATAGTTCATATTCTTATTGTTGTGCTGCTATCCTTGCCTTTTCTTCTGAAATTGCATTTTTGCAATATGTTGATGAATGATTTTGTATCTTGAGTTTAATTTTTTTCTTTATTATACCCCTCCACTTCTAAATTTACATGTATGCAAATGTATGTGTTATTTATGAGATTTGCTGATAGTCTTCAAGGTTTATATTTGTCTTATATGCATTTATTTAATTTTTAGTCTTAGTTATGCAGTCTTTATATGAGAGCTTACATATAACAGAGATGTAATTAATGACAAAGAAAGATTGAAGAGTTTTAAAAATTCTGACAATAGATGAGAGCTTCTCTGCAGCAAGAGGTATTTTCTTATTGTGAGGTAAAGAACAGGCATCACAAAGAAACTCAGAAAAGCTACTGTGTGACATCTGATAAAGAATAAATATGAATACAAATAAATGTCAATAGATTAATTTCTAATCTCCTCTGAGAGCATAGTATAAGTTTCTCTATGAACTAAGTGGGGTCAATTAAATGGCTATAACCTTTTTCCAGCATTATTTATGAATCTGAAGGAAGAATTTTTATACAATGGATGGTTGTGTTTATGCAGAATTTAAAGACTATCAAGAAGGAGTGTGGCAGATGGTCAACAGGATGACATTCCAGGGTGCAAATCAGAACGTAATGACATATTGGATCATGCATTTGTGGTTTGGCAGACAGACAAGTGAGGCCACAAGGATGTTTACAAACTCAAATGAACAGGCAGATTCCAGAGTCTGAAAATTGAGCTTAGGGTCATTCTGGGATTGACAGCGAGGAAGTCAGGCAAAACAAGAGAAAGAATAAGCACATAGCAAAGAACATACTGAGCTCCTGCTGCTGAAGTGCTGCAAGTTATGTTTAGCTCATTTTGGTTTTAATTTCTTAACACACGCCAATGTAATAAGAAACTGTAATAGAAGAGAAGTTCCTGCTGATTGTCGCTCAAATTACTATTTATCAAGCACCGATCATATGAAAGGAATTTTGCTGGAAACCGCAATAGCATTGTTTATTTCATGGGTTCTAATAATAATTAAATTATAAATTGTTCATATCGTTGCCAAAGGGTTAGAGAAAAATGAAACTAAAATATGATCTCCCGTTTTTTGCCCATCTGAAATTCTCCATAATTTGCCACCTAAAATATATATTTTATTGTATATTCTTATTTAGATTAAGATATTCGGTTTTGTCATTCCAAATGTCCTTGAATGCTAGTTCAATACATTAACTGGACTGGCTTCGCAAATAAGTGTTCTAAAACACTCTCTCTTCATCCAAGCCATTGAGGGTTCAAACTAAGAACCAAGTCTGGATGCACATTATTAGCAATTGCTTATTATTGAAAATTAATACACAGCACTTCCCATCCACACATGTTCTATCCTTCAATGTTTTCTCTTTATTAATCTTATGTTAATGATTTTTTAACTTGACTATCTCTTAAGACTTTCTATAATATTTTTAAGTATATTTGAAATTTTAGAGATTTCTTATTGCCCTTGTAGCCTAAGTTTCATTTTCACCAAGACATACATTTTTATTTTGATATGTACACATACACATGATATATCTCAATAAATATGATCTACATACCCAGACGTGACATAAACCTTTACATGGACATGATTTATATGCTCACACATGATATGGGACTCCATATGAATATGATCCATATATAAACACGATATAGACTTCCAGTTGGATTTGATCTATAAATGTACATGTGATATATATGTGTACATGAATATAAACCTATACATGCATGCATTTATATATGTGTTTTTCTTACCACTTTCATGTTCTTCCTCATGTTCATAGATTTCTTATTCAAGTTCTTGAGGCTTCTGCCAAGCACATTTTTTGCAGTTCCATTGAAGTACAGACTATCCCTTGTCAAGAGCTCATTATCTGTTGAGGCCTTTCTAGGTGGGAAGTTCTTTGCTTCCTAAATCCTCTCTTCTTTTCAAAAGCTAAACACTCAACTGCAAAAAAAAAAAAAAAAAAAAAAAAAAACGGAAAAAATGTCTCCATGTCATAGGGTTTTCTATTTTCTATTTAGGAGCTAAAAGTGCACTTCCACAGGCATATTCTGGTTTTCTTTTGTTTGGAATCACATTTGTGGCTGCAGTTTCAACAATTATCCACTTTAATAATGTAAACTGTCGGCTAGGCTGGAGCCATAAGATATTCCATATCTACCAGAATGGCTGTTACCATGTTAATCTACATGTCATTATTTATGTCGCTCAAATCCAGTAACAAGTGTCTTGCCCCTCTCCTAAGAATAGTTGTGTAATTCTCAAACATATTTGTGCACATAAACACTTAGCTCAAACATGTTCTTTCTATTAAGGAATTAAAATAGAGACAACTTTATGTTAATCATAACAAAGCATCCAACTGGGAGATCTGATTTTTATGGAAGATCAGGTTTCCTGTGGAATAACCCATGATTGCTATGGTGCATACAAATAATGCATACACGTATATATCTCATCCTCTTCTTTTTCTATTCTGTGACCTGCTTCAGAATACACATTTGATACGGTTTTTAAATTCTTCTTTCACCAGATAAGAAAATCCTTTTCAATTTCTCATTGAACTATTTACTTTTCCTATACATCTTCAGTGACATAATTATATATATATATATATATATATATATGTGTGTGTGTATTTATATGTATATTTTTCCATTTAATTCTCTATATTATATTAAATATTTGTAAATTAATTATATTTCTATTGCATTTACTTAGAACATTCAATCAAGAAAATATTATATGGTATAGTATTATAACTATCAAATTACCTATATTAAAAAAATAATTCTAATTTTCATAATAAAAATCATTGACTTGAGAAAGAGAATCCCTACATATAAATGTCCAATGGTGCACTCACATTTTTAGTGCAAAATAATTAACTCAGGTATAGTCACAGGCTGAGTTCCCTGTGATGCTGACTCTGAATTGGAGTTTAGAGTGCAGGATGTTCATGAATCTGATATATATATATATAAATTGTACAGAGTAAGTTTCTTTTTTTCAATACTGTGGGTTGAACCCAGAGACACTTTAACACTGAGCTTCATCCCCTGCCTTTTTAAATTTGAAATAAGGTCTTGCTAAGTTGCTTAGAACCTTTCTAAATTGCTGAGTTTGACCTCAAAGTTTCAATCCTCCTGCTTTAGCCTCTCATGTTGCTGGGATTACACATTTGTATCACAATGCCTGGCTAAGATTCTGTGCAGTTTTAATGCTTCTCAATGGCTGACCCCATGACAAAGCTCTTAAGCTAAACTTATCTTTCAGTATATCAGCATTTGGTGGTAAATGTTCTGAATATTCTAACCTTTCATGAGGAAGTCACTGAAAGTTGTGACCTAGGGTCAGGTGATAGTTTATAGGTAGAGCAATAAGTCTTTCCCAGAAGGGTATCTGAACAGTATATCCAAGTGTGTACCATGGGATCTTTTCACTCATAGACATTCTGGGAAGAGAAATAACAATGGTAAAATATTATATGATATATACATTTCAGTACATCAGTATTAATTGGTGACAAATTGACCAAGATGTGATATTACAATTTTGATCAGGATTCTAGAATGTATCAAAGTGTGTCCTGTGTGGTTTGATATAAATTATAATCTATGACTCTGTCCATTTATTTTAAACTACTTATTTATAATACAAATTATTTTCTCCAATACAATAAAGATTTTAGCAACCACTTTCATATGATGTTGTATGGATTGATCAATATGTATCATGCCCACATTTCTTATAGTACATAACATTTAAAAATCACATAAAATAGAACTATTTGGTCACCTTTAACTTCCATGTGGTGTAGTCACTCTGACAAAAGTGCATCATATTATAGTTAAGTTTTTAAATTTATCAATCTATGTGGTGTTTTCATAGAAATATCATCTGTATCAGTGGTTCTTAGACATTTTTAATGTATTGATATCTCCTGAATAGTTTGCTGAAGTACAGATATCTGTTGCTGTCATTTGAAGTAAGAGTCTAGGTTTGGGGTGATCCTCCTAGTTCACAACAAAGACTAGGATCCATTTGCTTCAGGCCATTTCTATGCCTTAAGTATTTTAGCTGCTAAGTAAGTCCATATTCAAAATGGCTTTGTCTCTTCCCTGTTGTCCTCCCATGACTTCACCATTCCATCAGTTTGGCTCTATTAACTACTCAAATAATTTTCTCAATTGAACTATGAATTTTAGCTATTCCTTAAAAATTTCCCCTTCATGTTCCCTTGGCCATTTTGTGAGTTAAAAAAAAATCACACATATCCGTTTTATCCATTAAAGGAAATGTGAATCTTTAATGGCAGCTTCACTAAGTATATTTTGTTTTGCTTATGTCTATCATAGATAACACAGCCAGCATTCTGACAAGGCGGAGGAGATTTAGTCGAACTATTCAGGATGTGTATTATCTACCCATTATGATCTCTGATGGTGGAATCCCCTCTCTCAGCAGCAGCAGCACCCTCACCATCAGGGTTTGTGCATGCGAGAGAGATGGGCGCGTGCGGACCTGTCATGCAGAAGCCTTCTTGTCCTCGGCTGGTTTGAGTACAGGAGCCCTAATCGCTATCCTTCTCTGTGTTGTCATTCTCCTGGGTAAGTCATTCTACAGCCTAAGGTGGTACAATGGCAGTTCTGAATGGGAGTAAATCGTATTCTTGAAATCTAAGGATTACAAAGGCATAATGGGGGTAATAAAACATGGCTGCACATATTCTATTAAATTAAATTTTACAAATCTGTAATCTGGAACTAATTTGATTCAAAACTTGGGAAAGAGTTGGAATATCAGCAACATATGAAATCTAAGAGAAAAAGTTTTGAAAGTATGTATTTTAGAAAAATTAATAGTAAGATATTCTAAGTCCCATTTGGAAAGAACTTTTCAATTAATTTCTGGGAACAGAAAGACATCATTTTAATATGTCTAGGACCTACCCTGCTTAGCTCAGCCAAGGTCAGCCCACTTGGGTCTTATAGCCATAGTATAAATAAGCACAGAAATTTAATATACAGTATGAGGACTAGAGTTAATAATAACATGGTTTTATATCGATTAAAAAAATGTCAAAAAAGTAGATTTTAAGTTGTTTTAGCACACACACATGAAAAGGGGGTAAATGTGAGATGAAGAATATGTTAATTTGCTTGATAATAGTTATCATGTCACTGGATAGTAATATATTCAAATATCATGTTTACATCACAGACATATACAATAAACTAAATCTGATAACCAAATAAGAATATAAAAGTCTTATAGAAACTTCTGTAATTCCCAAATATCAGTTAATCATCAATGTTAGCTGAGTTTAACATATTCATTCTAAGACACTGTAACCTGAAATATCATATATTTTATTAAATTCAATTATATTATATTAAATACTGTAAGATTTTCTCGAATCTGAGATTTGCATTGCATTTTATTTTATTAAAAAATCCAGTTTTATATTAGCTCTTGTTATATTCTAATGGATGTTAGATGTGTATTCTAAACCTCATCACATCTATATTTCAAACTGATATTATCTCAAACTTTTAGATCTTATTTAAGACAGACACAATATAAAGAAAGAAAGAAAAAAAAAAGAAAGAAAGTAAGATAGTACACCCAGATTTTGTAACAATAAAGGTAGATATGAGCCGTTTTTTCTACATAGTTTAGAGTGCATATGTGTTTGTCTTCCAGTGTGTCCCCACTTCCTCCTTTCCATTAGAGACTTATTTGTGACCTTTCTTGGTAGTGTGCACATGTGAAAAAAAAAAAAAAAGCACTGTATTTTTTGTTAAGACTAGGGTATTCCCACAAAGAATATTCCAGGTTTTGTTCCTGGGAGGAAGATATCCTGCTTGCATAGATGGTGAAGAGAGTAAGTTGGAATGAGGCTGACCAGGAGAAGGAACATAAGAAGCATGTGTGAGAAAATGTAATGCTATTGTGTATCTGAAAAAAATGGGGGTTTGCTGCAGGTGTGTAGACTGGATTAAAACAGGAGAGTCTCATTGTAAACTTGGCAAGTGGAAAAGATCACAGTGACTGAATTGAAGAAAAAAATCTCATGGTGCTAAGAGAATAACAGGGGAGTAGTCTTCCTCTGACATGGCATGAATTGGATCAGCACATTTTGAGTTAAGTTGAAAAAAAGTGAATAATATCAAAATATGATAAATACCTTTGATAACTTAGATGTCTGAGTAAGTTGGAACAGTATCAAACAGGGCTATTTGTCTATTCATCTCTTGCTGAGTGTATACCCTGTTTCTCCCTTAGTTATGCAATGGATTAATCCATTTTGGTTAAATTACATAGCAAAAATAAAAAAAAAAATACAGAGAGTAAAGAGTAGAACTGAGCTGTGTGAAACTTCAAAGTGATTGCCATGTCAGGAGGGATGAGATAAGAGAGGACAGCAAAGAAATCAGAAAGATAGAAATTTAGTCAAGTACAGTGTCACAAATGTACGTGGGAAAGAGTGTTGATGGGAATAGAGCACTGTGTTACACACTGAATCTATTCAATGTCAAAAACTGCTCACAAGTTCAACAATTTGTACCTAAAAATTATTGTTTGCACTTAGCAACCAGAAACATGCATAATTTGTGCAACACCATAACAAGAGCTGTTTCACTGCGGTAGGATCTTTTACAGTGTTAAGTCAGCTTCCCTTTCTATGAAACAGTGTCTGATAAGAACCACTTAAAGGATGAAAAGTATATTTTGGATCCTAGTTTCAAAGATGTAGTGCTTAGTCAGCCAAATCCATTGCTCTGTGTCTAAGGTGGAGAAAAGCATAATGATGGAAGACTGTGGTGAGCCACTTCTGCCGTTTCTGCAGACTATGGTCGCCATTACGAGATGGCGCTGGCTCCGCTGTGGTATGTGACAAACAACTCCTTATCTGAGAGAGTTGGCACATGATTTTTCACCACCCTGTGAGAAAGTTCCACGCGGCAGCTTTGCATTGGGGCTTGGGATGCTTTATTAAGGCTGGGAGGGCATCCGGGAAGAGAGAAGAAGAAAGAATAAGAAATATCAAGGGACCTGAATAAACTGCTGAGAGAAGATTCCTGAGTTGCGTCTTCCTTGCGGGCAAGGGGTCGTGACAGAAGACTATGGCCAACAAATGTGGCTCAGTTTAAGCCACTGGGAAAACAGAGAGAGAACAAGGAATCAGTGATACCAGTGACCTATATCTTCAAGCTATACCCTACCTGCTTATAATTATCATTGAGTACAGTAATACTTTCAAGTTATTAAAAGATGAAATGGATTAATCCACTGCTTAACTGACAACTCTCATAAACTAATCATTTCACCTCTGGTTGGTACCTCACTGTCTCCCATGCCTTTGGGAACAACTCATATTCAAATCATAACATATAGTAAATGCATGGTACATAAGGAAAAGAGGGAAATCAGGCTTTAAAAATTTATTTATTAGTCATAACTGCTATTGTCCTTATATATTTTTGTCGCAGTCCGGCTGCAGCAAACTAACCGGGGGTGACAAACAACTTGTGTAGATTGATACAGCAGGAGTAGGAGCCGTTTATTGTAGGACAGGAGTGGTATTTATACATTCCACACAGCTTATCTTAATTAGCATAAACTAGATACATCAGTCAACCAATAAGGAATCTCCACACTTAATGGCTCCCTGGTGTTACTTCACAAACCACTCCCTCTGGCAATATGCCAGGCGCCATCCTGACTTGTTTACAGACTCTAACATTTGCCAGGTGCCATCCTGACTTGTTTACAGACTCTAATATATTTTGTTTTTCTCCATAAAATTAAAAAAAGAAAAAACACAAACACACACACAAAAAACACATCCAAAACAGAAAATAAAGTCATACAGCAGCAACAGAACACTGGATCCCCTTAGAGTTCTTAACTGAAGTCACAGAGAATAAAAGTTTATGATTTTAATATAAATTATTTTAAAAAATATTTTTCTTTGTTCTTTTTAGTTATACATGACAGTAGAATATATTTTTACATATACTACATACATGAAGTATAACTTCCAATTTTTGTGGTTATACATGATGGGGAGACACACTGGTAAAACTTTTTAATTTTGAATGATAGGTTATTTGTGATCTTCAATTTTGTTTTCATTTATCATCATACAACCATTACCATTAAATATGATAAATAATTAAATGTATTGAAAAAAATCAATATACAGTTTTAAATTGTGTTATTCTAATAACATTTTAATAATTCATAAGAATAATACTTCATTTAATTAACATTTATAAAAATATATTTTAGCTTGTAAGGATAATTATTAGAACATTTGTACATTTTATATTCTCTGTCAAGAATAATAAAACACATTTTCTATTTGGTATGTTTGATATTTTTATATCAATACTCAAATATGTTTTATGCTTTTATCTAAATATTTTATAATTCTTTCTTAAGTTAAGGTTTAATCAATTTTTAATGACAAAGTAATTTTTATTGCTAATGGCATTGTAAGGTTTTATTCTTTTCAGAAAATATCTGGACAACAGACACAGAATGTAATTAGAATGTAATGTATTAGACTTCATGGAAAATATATGCAATACCAACACTAGCAAGACATTACAACCTGAAATTCTAAAATAACATCCCACCCTAATGGCTATACCAATTATTAAATTAATATTTTAATATTGAAAACCTATTTTAATTATCAGTTTCAGTTCATAAATTTGGCATTGGTTGTACTTATAATTACCTGATTTGGGTGACCCATTTCAGATCCTCTTGTTTTTAATCCTGAACCTGTGAATATGAGGTTTCTGATAAAAGAATCATGTAAACTCAGCTGTTAAATATTTCTATGCTTATTTTTTATGTGATTTTGCAATTTAAATATGTTCTAATTTTAGGCAAAAATCTATTGCTTATCTGAAAATAGTGCTTGGAAACCAAAAGCCTAACTTTAAACTGTACATGTACATTTTGTGAGAACCGTTATTTACTGTTGAGAGCACTTTTTATAGACCCTTTTAATCAGAAGAATGGCAGAGAATGTGGAGTGGGACTTCATGATGTATTTGGAGCTTGTTGTTGAATAGCAGAAACTGGAGCCCACAGTTTTTTTATTTTATTTTATTTTTTTAAGAGAGAGAGAGGAGATATTTTTTAATATTTATTTTTAGTTTTTGATGGACACAATATATTTATTTTATTTTTATGTGGTACTGAGGATCGAACCCAGCGCCCCTCGCATGCCAGGCGAGCGCGTTACCACTTGAACCACATCCCCAGCCCCACAGTTTTTATTTCTTCTTTTTAGTTATACATGACAGTAGAGTATGTTTTGACATATTCATACAAACATGGAGTATATCTTATTCTAATTAGAATCCCAGTCTTGCAGATGTATGTGTTGTATTCATATATATACAAAAGAAAGGTTATGTCAGATTAGTTTTACTGTCTTTCCTATTCCTATATCCCCTCCCTTCCTTTCGAATCCTCCTTTGTCTAATCAACTGAACATCTTTTTTCCCCATCTCTGCAACCTTGCTGTGTGTTAACATCTACATATCAGTGGTATGTCTGACCTTTGGTGTTTGGGGATTGGTTTATTTCACTTAGTATGACAGTCTCCAGGTTCATCCATGTAATGGCAAATGTCATAAGTTCATTCTATATGGCTGAGTAGCATTCCATTGTGTGCATAAATCACATTTTCTTTATCAATTCATCTATTGAAGGGCACCTAGGTTGGTTCCATGGGTTGGCTATTGCAAATTGTGCTGCTGTAAGCATTGATGTGGCTGCATCACTGTAAAATGCTGATTTTAACTCCTTTAGATAAGAGAAGTGGCCTAAGTGGGTAAAATGGTGGTTCTTTTCCTAGGTTTTGAAGAATCTCCGTAATGCTTTCCACAGTAGTTACATGGATTTGTAGTCCCACCTGCAATGTGTGAGTGTAACGTTTTCCCCATATCCTTCACAATATTTATTCTTGATTCTTGCCACTCTGATTAGAATGAGGGGAAATCTCAGTGTAGTTTTATTTTTTATTTCTCTAATTGCTATAGATATTGAATATTTTTATAATGTATTTGTTTATAGTTTGTATTTCTTCTTTTGAGAAGTGTGTGTCTAGTTCCTTTTCCCATTTATTGATTGGGTTGTTTGTTTATTTGGTGTTAAGGTTTTTAGTTCTTCTGAGGAGCAGGTGGCAAAGATTTTCTCCCATTCTGTAGACTCTCTCTTCATGTTCTTGATTGTTTCCTTTGCTGTGAATATGCTTGTTAGTTTGATACCATCCCATTTATTGACTTTTAATTTTTCTTCTTGAACTTTAGGAGTCTTTTTGAGGAAGTCAGTTCCCAAACCATCAAGTTGAAGTGTTGGGCCTACTTTTTCTTCTAATAGGTGCAGGATCTCTGGTCTAATATTTAGGTCTTTGATTCACTTTGTGTTGAGTTTTATTCAGGGTGATAGATATGGGATCAATTTCATTCTGCTACATATGAATTTTCAGTTTTCCCAGCACTATTTGTTGAAGAAGTTAACTTTTCTCCAGTGTATGTTTTTGGCTCCTATGTCTAGTATGAGTGGTACTTTGTATAACATGCATGATTGGAGAGATTAAATTGGGGAGGGGTCATTTTAATATTTTCATTTGAGTTCCAGATTTTTAAAATAAGAATATGATTGTCAAATCTCCCTATGTAATTATTTTCTGCACTTATCATCTTAAAATATACTTTGGTATTACGATTTTTTTGAGACATAATTTAGTTCAAACTATTCATAAGCAAATTAGGAGTCTAATGTTCTTAATAGCCATGAGCTGATTTTTAAAAAAATATTTAAAATAAATTTCCACTAAGGCTACTACTATTCATGAAGGTTCATTAAAGCCTTCACAAAGATTATTCTTTTGCCCATCTACATAAGAATTGTCTGTAGAGTATTTGCATTGTGCCAACTGCCACAAATATCTGCTAAAAACAAGTGGGAGAGTGCATCAGGAACACACATGTGAACTGGGTTTCAGCTTGCTTCAGTGGGTAGATTTGACTAGAGGAACCATATGTCCATGTACACCCTGAGGTCCTAATATGATGATAATAAACATCCTATTTCTCTTAAGAGTATGACAGTCTATGTTATTATTTATGTTTTGATATTATATTAAGCTGGAATGTAGCAATTCTATGAATCATTGTTTACTAGCAATAACTACCTAGAAAAGAGTGCACTGTAAATATAAAAATGTTCAAGCATCTAGCATCTATATGTTGAATGAGAAGATAAGAAATTTTTTTTTTCAAAACTTTTGGAGAATAAGCAAATATAAACCATCATAATAAAAAAACATAGCATTACCCCCACATTTCACTCACCAAGTATGATACATACACAAGAATTGAAGCATTGCACTAAGTTTGATGAAGGATGAAAATAATCTCCATAATTCCATAATAGGATTGATTATATCTTTCCTATTATGCATGTACATAAATTTCCTTGAAATCAATAGCTAACCATTTCACCATAAAATAAAATTACTAGATTTATTAACGAAACTAAGAATTTTCACTATAATGAATTAAGTAGTCTGTAGAAATAAGATATCTAATCTCGAACAGCCTCCTCATTTATTAATATATATGAGCAGAAATTTTCAGTGAAGTGATAAATCTTCACCTCTGCATAAAATGAAGTTAGTTACTTGATGATGTGTTTAGGGCTTTGACTTAGAAAACTGAGAGGTGGATTTAAAGAAAAAAGTACACAGCGGTATTAAATGCATATTTATTTCATTGAGTAAAAGTAATTTTCCCCCAAATAAAAGGAATAAACATTTTTAAAGTTTAAATATAATTGGAGTGGCAGATAAAATGTAATGAATCCAGTTAATGTGAATTTCAGATAAAAGTATGTGTATATAGACACACACAAACACACACACACACAGCAGATAAAAGTATGTGTATATGCTCTCACCCTGTAAAAAAATGTAGAGTGCAATAATATAATATTTTGGACATATATGGCATATATGTGCTTTCTGCAATATTTTGGTATGTATAAATCCCAAATACTATATGGGGTTTACTTAATTAACATATAATAAAATATAATAGTGTGTATTGTGTATGTTATCATCTCACATTTACACATAATTGAATATCCTGCTTTTTAATTTTCATTTGATGAATCTAATAATCTGAAATGGCATTTGAATGCACTTCCTTAATTAGTACAATGTAAAGAACCGTGTATAGACTGTAGTGTATTCTATTGTGCCTGAAGACACTGTATCCAAAGTTCAAGTGAGATAATCCTTTCTATTTGGTGTGAATTTAATATCTCAAACAGAAAGATTTAAAATCCTGAGAATTGGCCAAAGCAAAGTGCCCAAGGTTCATTTCTATTACTTTATCTGGTGATTGCAACATCACCGGTAATTTTAACCCACCATATTTGTTGAGAACTATCCTAAACCATTGTCCAACAGGTCACTTAGCTCCTTATTCTATATGTTTGAAAAAAAAAGTAGAACACTTGCCGCAGTCTGGCTGGGCACAAATGCCGCAGTCTGGCTGGGCACACAATCACGAGCCACCACACAGCTTGTAGATTCAAGCAGCAACTCTTTATTCCCGAACTCACACCAGCCGTCTACAATCACGTTCTGGGGAAATCCACGTTCTCTGCCCAAATCCATGTTCTCTGCCCAAATCACCCTCCACTGGGCTTCTATCTCCAAAATATACTGGCTGAATCCCGTGAGAACTCAAGGGGAACTCAGGCAGCAGGATACGCCCTATTCCCAGCAGGAATAATCTTAAACCTTAAACCTGGAACCTAAACTGGGAACGCCCTAAACACGATTATCTTAAAACCGGGAACACCCTAATCTGCCTTGGTCCTTGAGCAAGGTCACCTACATTCAATGTCACTGCAACATGTCAGCAACATGGGGTACGCTGGCAAGGAAATTGTCATACCTACTTGGCTAATGGATCCCAGCAAACACTGTTCTGGAAATATCATTGCTTCTGGTGTGAGAAGTCACAGAGTGCTAGCCCTTTCACCTACCCTCTATGGGAACAATTCTTTCCATCTTAATACACTTTTCTGCATCCAGCTTCTTCATTGTTTAATTGAGTAAAGCCAAAGTTGAGGATTAAATAAATAAGGTATGTGAAGAACATTCACAAACTAAAAAAAGATACAATATAAACATATAAAATATATGAAAATAAAATTTATGTTGTGTCCAAATAAAGTAACATTCTTTTGCAACTTGATAGGGTAAATGCATTTTTATTGTCTGATACAATAAAAGGTACTGAACAAGGGAGATCAGCCTTATACAATATTATTTCTTTACTCTTTAGCAAGACATCAAATATCAAAGGGTAAAAGTAGAGGCCCCTTCTTTGAATTTTAAAGGAACTTAATACATCCTGTCTTTGGTGTCTTCACCTAAAATGATTAAGTATCTATTGATAGACAAACACATTATGTTATTTTTTTCATTCAAAATTCAATTATTTTTCCACCATTTGTTTCTGTCACATTAGACACAGAATAGTTTTTCAGTAGTCTGATTCAAGAAATCTGAGTTCCTAAGCCTGATGAAATAAGATCTGCAATTCACAATGTTCCATGGGGATGATCATTTTGTTACATTCTTAGGGCATTAAAATACCTTGAGGTGTTATTCAGGATGCACAGGTGAATGCTGTGATGCAGTGCCAGCCGAGTGCTAGAGTGTGGTGGCAGGCATAGTAAATTGCTGATGTCAGATCTCCACGAATTTTCCTTTCCCCTAACTGTTTATCCTTTTTCCATTCTTCTTCAGCAATTGTAGTACTTTTTATCACCTTGAGGCGCAGCAAAAAAGAGCCATTGATCATTTCAGAAGAGGATGTGCGAGAGAATGTGGTCACCTATGATGATGAGGGAGGTGGGGAGGAAGACACTGAGGCCTTTGACATCACCGCATTAAGGAACCCTTCTGCAGCTGAGGAGCTCAAGTACCGGAGGGACATCCGACCTGAAGTGAAGCTCACTCCCAGGCACCAGACACTGTCCACCCTGGAAAGTATAGATGTTCAGGAGTTCATAAAGCAAAGACTGGCAGAAGCAGACCTAGATCCCAGTGTTCCTCCATATGATTCTCTTCAGACTTATGCCTATGAGGGTCAGAGATCAGAAGCTGGATCTATCAGCTCACTGGATTCAGCAACGACACAATCAGACCAGGATTATCAGTACCTTGGAGACTGGGGGCCTGAGTTTAAAAAGTTAGCTGAACTCTATGGAGAAATAGATTCTGAAAGAACAACTTAGGGGGCCAATTCTTAAAACCTTGTGGAATCTGCTTCCTCAGCAAGTGGAGACATAACCTCAGCAATGACAAAGCATAACCATGGAAACAGTACTTGAACTGAGCAAGCTGTACACAGCTCCTGTAGAAACAAGTGCCCTTTCTACAATCCAAACTGGGTTATTTAATTGGAAGAAAGCAAAATATAAAAGAAAAATGCAGAGAAAAATCTGCTGTCCTTGTGTATATTTTCAATTGCTCAATAAAGTCTGTGGTACTGTTTAATTAAGAATACCTGAAAAAAAGCCAAACACGAATATTTGTTTCAATATTTTGTGATTTCTTTTTTCCTAAAGCAAAACTACAAAAAGGGGCTCAAAATCACTGACAACTATGACTTTTAGGGGTGGTGCATTGCAAAAGGAAACTCATGAAGGTAATCATGACCTCTTTTACCACTTTTTTGAGTGGAGTCTTGAGAGCCACACACTGTTGTGACAGATCCCATTAGCCTTGTCTTGTGTTTAAATTGCATACGGTGTTCCCCCTCTACCAGACCATTCTGTCATGGACTTGTACCATTTCCCTCTGCCCTCCCCACTTCTTTTCTCCATACAAAATTGATGGAGCATGGGGATTTGCTGCCTGCACTATAAAGTATGCAACTTCGGTGTACCGGACATGCACCGTACTGAGCAGGAGACAATAGTCTCTGTCTCGTCTGCCCTCCTTTATTTTAACAGGAGATCCTCCCCCCCCCTTTTTTTTAATAAATAGAATGAATTGTTGAAGGTGTACTCTGAAAATCTGATACGTCAGGGAAAGATTTATTTTATAAATAGATACAAACCTTATCCTTTACAAAATGTTGAGGAACTTTTTATTTTTTTCCCTTTATTTTAGAAAACTGAAATCAGCCAAAATTTTTGCTTCAGTCTTAATTCATTTTCCATTTTCATCATAGACAGTCATCAAAAATATGTACCTCACATGTTTTCATAGTCTAAAAGGACTATCCTTCAAGTAGTATAAACATAGACTCATGGTTGACTTATTCTTTACACGGGTTCAGACTTATCAGTCCTTACATGTTTGATGTCTACAGAGGAATATGTAGGACTGGGCACAAAAAGTAGGAGTTTCACACTTATTATCATTGGACACATGCCTGAATGTCTCTGAAATTCAGGGTCCAAAAGTGCAAGATAGAAATGGACTGACTTCCCTGCCTACCTCACAGGGCTGTTGTGAGGATCAAGCATCTGTAAAACTGCTTTACCCACTGCAAAGGATTCTGCTCCATACATGTTTGCAGACACTAATTTTCTAATTCCATTAACTTATAAATATATATTTACATACATTTTACATAAAATATTATATTATCATGGAAGAATGTCATGAAATCATCAACAGTGATGTTACTGTTTAACTAAATATGTAATGCATAAGTCTAATTGTTTTAATATTTTCCTAAACAATCTAATTTTCTTAATATTTCTTGGGGATTTTTGTTTTTCAAATTGTTTTGGGTAATGTTTTGTTTTTGTGTGTTGCTCTTGATCTCGAAGTAAATATTCATAGCATAATAAGTCCGATTTTCTAAGTGATCCCATCTGTATATTCAGTTAAACTAGAATTTCTAAATTCATGAAATGCAAATTATTTGATGGGAAAATTTTTCTTTGCACTTTAATTTTTTTTTCATGATCTAGTGTTTCCAAAAGTCACATGACATTTTGTGTAATTCTACCCATGTGCAAAATTTTGGATTTTGCCTCATGTCACAGCTGCCCTGCGCTATCATATTTCATTTTTGAGGTATGGGAAGAAAGTAAATTTAATTTGAATAATTCTCAATTTGTGTTTTAAGCCTGAGGAATAAAATGTAATTTAAGGTTTTTACAACATTTTAGCTTTCCAGATGCTGCTTTATCATTTTTTACATCATAATGGTGTGTGTTCTGGTGTAGAGCATGAATCCAAAGAGACATGAGGGCCTCGGGGAAGAGCCTATGGACACACAGGCTCTGATTATGCTAAAGCTGGACTACTTTAGTCCTGAAAGGAGAGAAAACCTCAGAGATCGACTATGACCCTGATGTCTTGACTTTCCCATTCCAAAAGGAGGAGAAACATCAGGATTCTGAAGTTTATCAGGCGTTTGAATTTAGATTTTGATGAACTATCCATGGCTTCTTATTTTTTGAAATATTTACCTTGTAACTTCACTGATGAGGTTTTGAAATATAAAAAATGTGTATTTCCTTCTAACCATTTACATAAAAGTCAAAGTTCTCTGACTGGTTCTGGTACTCAAATATTTCCCTGATTTTGAAGTATCAAGCACACTAGTACAATTTGTTTTTTAATTACACATTATAGTGATGACCCATAATCTAAGCCTCTGATCTTGAATCCAAATATAAAGTCAAAATGGATCATCTGTAGTTTGGAAATATATTTTCATTTTTATATGTTTTAAAATTCTATTAATGATAACATTCCAAGTACTGTTTTGTATATGGACTTGGAAACTAGGCAAGTATATTCTTATCAGTTGAGATTGGGTCTCATTTTTTTTTTCTTCTATTATTCTAAATAAAGAAAATAGTGATGACATTTAAAAGTTCTATAAATTGAGCATAATTATTATTTAAAAATAGATACATTACTATAAAACCTCCAGTTGATCTGTTACAGAATAAAGTTCTCAAAGAGTTTTGAGGGTCAAGTATATATACATCAGCTCTGAGCTTTGGCCACAAAGAATCAGCCATGGACTCAAATGTCAATAATGTCACTTCACATTTCTGAAGATTCAGTTAATATTTATAGACATAAATTTTTAAAATACATTAAATTTAAATTAATTTTTTCATTAATACAGCAATTTTCAGACAGATTCTTTACAAATGGTGACTGATAAATTAAAGATTATAATATGACAATGTTTTTATCTAGGGTATTTCTTAGCAGTATTTATTAACTTCAAATACTTTGTGCAAACACCGAGAAATTAAAAGGATTTACAGAAATAACTAAAGATCTATTGTCAGAAATTATTTCTATGACAAAGCTGCACAAACACAGATTTGAAGAAGAGTTACAGGAAGAAATTATAACCAAAGTGGAGCTTTATACAGAGGTAAAGTGTGACTTTTCTATCATATGGTACAAGCAGGGGCTATTCTGAAAGAAATTGCATTCACTTAGCCATATGGGTACACACACATACACATATGTCTTCCTGAAGAATGTTTGGGAGAATAAAGTAATATTCAAGACAGAGATGTGATCCAAATATGTGAAACATATAAAATCGTAGTGGAAGGTTCACCATAAACAGGTGACTCAAATGAAATTTTTGGCTTTTATCCAGCCTAGTGTTTAACTTCCAATGATGCAGTATGGAGCTAATTTGTAGATATGGGAACACAAAGAGCACGAAAAAAAAAATGAAATAGGGTACAGCAAATTTTCTGAGATGATAAAAACACACACAGTACCTGTTGTAAACACTAAAAAGTGTTTTAACTTTGATCCTTAGGATACTACAGTTTAGGAAGAAATCTGCATAGAAACAGGAAAATGTATTGGGATCACCATTCTCAGTAATGAAGAATGTTTAATACACAATTAGTCATTGTTCTGTTTGCTCTCACTTGTTTTTACCCATAAGTTTGATTTGGTGTCTCCTTTCTGGTTTAGTTGAATGTAGGGAAAATAAGCAAAATTTCAAAGAGACTCATTTCAGAGACACCAAAAAAGTTCCAGTTACCTAAGTTTGATAGTAAAACATTCTTAAATGCAATACTTTTGGGGAAAGTCATTATCGTTTAGCTTTGAAATACCTTGATCTTGACAATTTGGAACTCTAGAGATGGTTATTTGGGAAAAGGGAAGAGTCTCAAGTTTCAAATTCAATTTGTGCTTAGCTTCTAGGTATGTTATTCAATTGAATTACTTGACTTTCAATTTTAAGAATTAAAAAAATAAGTCAGAGCATGTATCTTGGGAAATATATAACTGACATTCAAATTCCTCTCTCTCTCTCTTTCTCTCTCTCTCTCTCTCTCACTTTCTCCCTTTTACCATTTATGACTAAAAAATTAAAGATTAAAAATTAAATATTATGCAAAGGAAATAAAACCACTTTAAATTTTATTTTTTACATCATCTGCAGAAGTTAATCTTAGAAACCCTGCAGCCAAACAAATTTTATAACCATTTGAAGATGACTAGCACAGAACCCAATCACTTTTTCAGTTTCCAAATACATAACTTTAAAATGAAAATATTAAATTCAATGATTTTTAACATATCAAAGACATGTTACTATTTTGGCTTATGGCAATGAAAGATGTAGTGAGGGCTTCATTTTTTTTAATAAAAAAACAGGAAAATAAAAGACTTTTTTCTTTGTAGATGATGAAAACAAAAGGAAAATGTTCTTACTGTAGGGAAGAATGGTTACATTTATCCACTTTGCTGTGTTTATGGAATTGAAAAATTTTTGCTCTGCAACACTGCAGAGATATCAAAATTATTTTATTGATGATTAATTTTAAATTCTGAGGTGAAAGTTAATGGAGAAACGGTACATTCAAAAGTTCTTGAAATTAGATCCTCTGAGGAAGGCAAGGTGCCATTTACACATTGCATTTCATCAGATGGTTCAGTCTCATTGTCCAGCAATACTAGAAGTAAAAAAAAAAAAAAAGGATCATTATAGTTAGTGTCACCCTAATAATTTCATCAAGGCACTTTTTCTTATTTCAAAAAAACATCAAATTCTTGTTCTAAATCATCTATTGATCTTTTCAAAATGTCATTTCAAATATCTTAGTTCCAAAGAGAAATATTTATTGAGTTAGATGCACTATATGTAATGCCTATATTTTTAATATAATATGTATATATTTTAATATAATATGTGTTAAATATAATATATATAATATGTTTAATATAATATGCATATATTTTAATATAATATGTGTTTAAAAAGATGACAACAAAGAAGAAAATGACAGTATTCAGGAATCGAAAGAGATATTTAAAAATATATATTCTGGTGACACTTATTATCATGGATCTAATTAAATTCTAATCTAACTGATTATATATAAATAATGAGGATCTAATTACATTTAGAGAATCGAGAACTGCATACAAAAATACAAACTCTTTGTATGTGTGGGCAA